ATTGGCAGCTGCTCCACAAAGAAACACTCCACTGAGGGCAAGACAGAGGCTAGTCAGCTTGCTAGTGTAGTCTACAGTCGGGTCTGTATAAATAACATCAATGATTCTTCCCAAGAAGAAAGGCGCAGACATGGTGATGATGCTGGACACAGTCAGAAATCCAACAGCAGCTGACAGCCTCCACCGCTCAGGGTACACCAAGCCCAGGAGCTTCTTTGCCTCAGAGCGCCAGGTCGATGAGCGATGCAGCAAGTTGTCTCCTGATGCTGCCGTAGTTCCGGGCACCGCCGATCCCTGTCGCCCAGAACGGCCCAGGGCCCAGGAAGAGGTAGAGAGGCCGCACCGGCACTTCTCGTTCGCCCGGCACCGGCCAGCGTCCAAATGGCGCGCGTGAAGCCCCAGGAGCCTCACGATGGCCCCTGCACGCCCAGGTGCGCATGGTGGCCACCGCTTGGACGCCAGCGTTCCCAGGACACTGTGGATGGGACTAGGGCCGCTTGTGGGCCAGGCGCTCCCCCAGCTTCGCGAGCACGGGGCCCCGAGACCCACAGAGAGCGCCAGCCCCACGCCCCAAGGCCTCACAGGACCCAGACACACGAGCTGCCGCCAGGGCCCAGGGGCACCGGCTGAGGCCGATATTGTTTTCTTGATTTCCATCTCTGACTTCTCTTTATTACTGTAGAGTAATCTTACTGATTTTTGGATACTGATATAAATCCTGCCGTTCTACTAAACTGGCCTATTAACTCTAGCAGGGTATTTATTTATTTATTTATTTATTTATTTATTTTTTAGTCATTGGGGTTTTCTGTGTACACTGTCATATCATTTGCATATAGCAACAGTTTAACCATTTCTTTGCTGATCTGGATACCTTTTATTTCCTTCTCTTGTCATATTGCCCTAGCAAGCACTTCCAATACAATATTGAAAAGAAATGGTGACAGTGGGCATTCTTGTCTGATCCCTGTTTGCAAGGAAAATGTTTTTAATCTTTCTCCATTGAGAATGATGTTGGCTCTTGGTTTTGCATATATACTTTTCACAATATTGAGGGAATTCCCTTCTCTTCCAATTTTGCTAAGTGTCTTTCTCAGGAATAAAACCCCATAAAAATAGTACAAAGCTTCTTCTCAGACCACAACGCTACAAAACTAGAAATTAATAAGAAGAGGATTAAGGCGAAAACAAACCCCATACATTTGGAAGTTGAACACCTTGCTTCAACATGAGTGGATAATAGAAGAAATAAAAAAATGAAATTAAAAGTTTCTTGAAACAAATAACAAAGAAAACATAACTTATCAGAACCTCTGGGAAACAGTCAAAACAGTAATTAGAAGTCAATATATAGCAATTAAATAAACACAACAAAAAGCAAGAAAAAATGATCACTGACTCTCTAGCCCAACATATCCAACAAATTTAAAATGAACAGCAAGAGAACCCAACACCCTCTAAAAAAACCCTGAAATTATAAAAATTAGGGCAGAAATAAATAGAAACAGAAAAACGATTGAAACTATCAACAAAACTAGGAGTTGGTTCTTCAAAAAGGTCAACAAAGTCAACAAACCACCAGCAAAACTAACAACAGAAAAGAAAGAAAAGATACAAATAATTTGAATAAGAGGTGAAAGTGGCAATGTTACCACAGAAACAACTCAAATGAAAAGGTTAACAATGGAATAGTCTGAAAAACTATACTCAAACATATATGAAAACCTAGAAGAAATAGACAAATACTTAGAACCTCACAACAACCTACCAAAAGTGATGCAGACTGAAATTAAACACCTGTACAAATCTATTACAAAATAAGAAATTGAAAAGTTAATAAAACAACTTACAACAACAAAAGCCCTAGACTAAATGGTTTTACAAGTGAATTTTATCAAACATTCAGAGAAGAATTGTCACAAATTCTACATAAACTATTTCAGAAAAAAACAAAAGATGGAATTCTCCCATGCTCTTTCTATGAAGTAAACATATCCTTGATACCAAAACCAGGTAAAGACACCACAAAAATAATAAGCTATAGGCCAATTTCTCTCATGAACATAGATGCAAAAATCCTGAATAAAATCCTGGACAACACAATTCAAAATACATTTTAAAAAATTCACAATGTGCTGCTGTCTTCCAAGCCATGGTAAAGACAGCAAAACACTGACAAGGGTGGATAAGAAGGAGAAAAATCCCTCTGGGAGTACGTCAAAGGACCAAATCAATTTTATTAAGGATACAGAGCTATTTAAACTTTTAGCCACATGTGGGAACATTTCCAATAAGGAGAGAATATATATCAAAGAAGTCATGGACTTAACCTCTGTGGGCCATTTTGACACACAGCTTGTAAGGTGTGCCACAACAGCCTTATTAGTAAGGAAGTGTGCTTCATTCACTTATGTGAGTCAAATATGCTGCCATCCAGATAGGGCTATCACGGGCTCCATTTCCTCTTTGTTCATGTTCACCCATATCTCCCCCTTTTTCTTCTATTACATTAGCAAACATGATTTTTTTTATTCTTGCAAATGGACTCTTTGTTTGAGCCCTTTGATTATTAATACATTTATTAATACTTATACAATTAGCACAGCCCATACTATTACATTATAGGGATTAACTACCCATTTAGCTAGTGATAAAACATGATCAACAAAACCTTGCAAAAATCTAGGAGCAGGAACATCAACACAAACATTATTAACATCTACTGCTATTTCAGAAAGACATACGAAATCAGAAGCAAATTTTAGATTCCAAGTGGTATGAATATATATAGAGAGATTAAAGCTATAGTTCAATTTTTGTTGTAGAAGAGTAACATTAACTTTAAAAGGAGTCAGACAATATGGATGAATGGTCACATCTCAGGGGACACTAATCATTTGTGTTATAGTTTATAGAATTTTGGCATGGAGGTTAAGCTGTTGCTGAAGTGTCATGAGGCCTTGATGAAGATATTCTAAGGTCATCCCAGTTTGCATCATGCCCTGCGATGTAAGGGCTGACAAGTTTTACATGACAGTAGCAGCTGCCTGTTCTGTCAGTGTGACTGTGGTGCTTGTGGTGGTGGCTGAAAAAGAAACTAAAGAAGTTATTCCAGCAATAATTAGGCCTAGACCTATAGCTTTTTTTGTCTGGGTCACAGGGAGCCACAGTAACGATATATATAAAAGTGAAGTTTTACTTCTCCATTTTTGGGGCAATTAGTGATGACTCCTTTGGCATCGTCAGTGTTGCTGAAAATCACAAATTAATGGAAATTGGGAAGATAAGTTGTAACATTTAAGAGGGAGGCAGTGGAATTATTTGTGTCCAACTTAAGATTGCTCATTGCTGGATAGTGTTAGCTCTGGCAATTCTGTATGTTTGGCCTCCCTCTGTTATGATATAGCTGGTTTGAGCAACTTGTCCCCAGGATTACTGGTATGCATAGTGGTGTTTAGGGTAAAATAAAGAGGTCCCCAATCCCTGGGTCCAGGGCACCACGATGACGATGGTGGTATGGACAAGTACCCAAGAGCCACAGAGTAGTTAATCAAAAGTGTACTATTTGGAAAAGCTAGACCCCAGATCCAAAGTTTATGACCTGGGGATGGGGGGGGGGTGTTTTTATATCTACCAGCGTTCAAGATCAAAGGCAGTGTGTTCACAATAATAAAGGGATGGAGGGAAAGACAGACTAGAGTTATCAGGAGTATAGTCTATAATAGGATTGTAAGTAAGCCAGATGCCACTTAAGAAAAAGAAAGAGGCCTGCTCTAGTCTCACACAAGAGGTGTTTTTGTTGGTATTATTAACCCAACAAGCTACAGGGAGATGTAGGTCATCTAATATGAACATTTTTATAGGAGTTATTTCTATTTTTATTTCTTGGCAGGGCTGCATTAGAGAATATACATCTGGTTGGCATACATAAGGTTGGAGTTTTGTCCCAGGTAGTTAATAGAAAGAGAGAAGATCTAGGAACATAACCACACAACACCTGTTTTGGGGCCTCATGGGCTGCATTGCTGTTGTTAACAGCAATGTTAACTGTTAACTGTTGTTAACAAAGTTAACTGTTGTTAACAGTTGTTAATGTTGCCATCAGGAGGACAACCATCATGAGTCCTGTTAGAGAAGCCCCACTGGTAGCCTGATCCACTAATGTCTTAAGCATTCCCCATGTTACTAGCACGGTTTTCTTCTTCATTGGTCCCTGATTTTTCTGCCATTGCTTTCCTTGAAGATTCGGCTTCTGCATCTTCTCAATGGGTGGGTTGGTATATGACATTTCTAGCAGGCACCCAGACTGGGTGTGGCTTGTCTTGTGGAAACACAGCATATCCTCTCCCAACAGTTAACAGAGGGTCTGCGCCCTTCCATATTTTATCTAGAGGGTCTTTCCATGTTTCCCATAATGGAGGTTCCTGGGCATTGGTGTTTTGTTGCCAGTGAACACACATAGGAGGTTGTGAAAGTTTCATAAATATTAAGAATATTTAATGTAAAGAATGCTTTATGTAATTGTACTATGGGGATATCCCTTCCCCTTTTCTTTTTTCAATTGAGTTTTTAAAATTCTATGAGCTCTTTCTACTCTGCCTTGACCTTGGGGGTTAAAAGGGATACCTGTGGTATGTTGAATATACTTTACTAAACTCAGCAAAAGCGGGCCATTGTCAATTTTTATGGCTTGTAGAAGGCCCATTACTGCAAAACATTGAAGCAAATGACACAAGATTTTTGTAGACTCTCCAGTTTGTGTAGTGGCCCACATGAATTTAGAATATGTGTCAAAAGAAAGAAATAATGTATTTTTGTTTGCCAAAGAATTAATATGTGTAGTATCAAAATTTGCCACAGGCAATTAGCTTTCAGACCTCTGGGGTTCACTCCTGGAGATTGAATAGCAGGAGTGTGAATTAGGGAAGCACAAGCTCTACAAGAGCATACAATTCTTTTTACTGTAACAAAGGAGTTTGAGGAAAGTGTGTTTTAAGATACTTAAGACTGACATGGGTTAATGAATGTAAGGTATCTGGTGTAGACATGAAATAAACAGCACCCTGAGTGGCAAGACTGTCTGCTTTACAGTTTCCTTCAGCTATGAAGCCAATTAGGCCTGTATGACTTCTGACATGTTGCAGAAATATAGAGCAAGTTTGCTGTAAAAATAAAGTAGCAATCTGGACTAATAAAGGGGGGAAAGGATTTTTATCTAAGTTCACAGAGCAATGTCCTAATAAAGGCAGAATAGTAATAATATAATGATTATCTGTAAATAGATTCATTGGCTTAGGGACATTACTTAATGCAAAAAAGATTGTAATTAACTCTTTAAATTGTGGTGAGGTATCATGTAAAGGGGTAAAATAAGTAGTAAGCAGGATTGTGGGTTTGGTGGGATAGATAATTACTGCAGCTCTGGCTTTTCTGACATCTGTCAAGACATTGAAAGCTATAGGGATAGATGTTTTGTTGTTTTTTGGGTTTGGTTTTTTTTAAAGTCATGGTGGCAGCCATCACAAAAGAAGGATAGCAGCTATCCATGGAGAACTGGGATAATGACAATCAATTTGCCCAGAAAAATCTTCAAAAACTGTAGTGAAACTGCTGTTATGTTGGAATAATCAGTCAATATCATGACTGGGGAAAGGTAA